CCTTCTGCCCCACCGGCATGCTCGCTCTACTTCTGCCTCATATACTTCCTTTCAGCTAGATTGCTGTTGCGCCAGCGCTCCCAGGATCTCTATATCCTCCTCGTTATTGTTTTTTATTCCCTAGTTGTTCTCCTGTCTGACTTTGTTTGCCCATTGCACCTTTCCCCCGTCCCTTTCTTCCCCCAAGTTCCCCCAGGAATGTTGATCCCATTGTTTTCTCCTCATGCTTGCTTCCCATGCCTGTCTTGTGTAAGTAGGCATACCAACAATGGCATAGTCCAAACAAATAGAAAACAGTTGACAAAAAAAAAAAGTAAGGAGGAAAAAAACCCCAAACAGAAACAAAAAAACACAACATCCACAGCAAAACAAACAAACAAACACCACCACTAACACCAAAAAAAAAAAACCATGCATGCTTCCAGATCTGTCCACTGACCTTTATGACTCTCTCTTTAGGGGCTTTGTGACTTGGCTTTGCTCCCGTTACTCATCTGTTGTGTTCCCTTCTTGGTTTGTCCCATTGCAGGGGGTTTAGACCACACTGAGGAAGGCTTATTAATTAGCCTACAATATGCAGATGACACAGTCTTGTTTGCTAAAAGTGAGGGGACCTCAACACTTGCTGATGAAGATTAAGGATTGCAGTCTTCAGTATGGATTACATACAACTCAGTGTCAAGAAGACCAAAATCCTCACAACTAGACTATTAGGTAACATGATAAATGGAGACAAGATTGAAGTTGTCAAGGATTTCATCTTGCTTGTATCCACAATCAGTGCTCCTGGAAGCAGAAGGCAAAAGGCCAAAAGACAAGTTGCATTAGGTAAATTTGCTGCACAAAACCTCTTTGGAGTTTTGAAAAGCAAGTATATTACTTTGGGGGTCTAAGGTGCTCCTGACCCTTGCCTTCATGGTATTTTCAGTTGCCTCATATGCGTGTGAAATTTGGACATTGAATAAGGAAGATTTAAGAAGAATCAATGCATTTGAATTGTGGTGCTGATGAGGAATATTGAAAAGTACCATGGACTGCTGAAAGGATAAACAGATCTGTCTTGGAGGAAGTAGGGCAAGAATGCTCTTAGTGGCAATGACGGTGAGACTTAGGTACTTTGGACATACTGTCAGGAGAGACCAGTCCCTGGAAAAGGATATCATGCTTTTGGCAGGCCCTGGATGAGGTGGACTGACACGGTGACTGCAACAATAGGCTCAGGCATATGAATGAATGATTGTGAAGATGTTGCAGACCTCAGCAGTGTTTTCATTGTGTTGTGCAGAGGGATCATTGTGCGTCGGAACCCACTAGATGGTACCTGATGGCAACAATTTTATATTCCCCAGTGTTCACCAACCACATAGGATTGGTCAAAATGTGAAAAGCAGTAAACATGTTCATCTCTAGCTGGCAGAGAAGAAAAGAAACTAGGAAATTAAACTTAAAATGGAGTTACTTTAATTGAAGCATCCAGCGACCTCCTCCCTCCTTCCGTCCCCTTCTTCATGACCTTTTTCATCATTATTTCCTTTTGTTGCTGCCATTTTTCCTTCTGGGTACAGTAACTTGGAGTAGACAGGAGACGGACGAGGTGGCATGATTCTCATCGTACTGTACTATAAGTGCTTATGGACATCTAATTGAAACTACAAATTTTTTTCCTCACTTGGACCAGTTAGATTCAAAAAATCTTTTAAAAAAATTACTAGAAGGGGAATCAAAAAAGAATAATTTAAATATAAAATATTAAGTCTTCTGTCTAAATAAAATAAAAGTTCACATTATGACAGCATCTATTTGTATTTAGCAATTTAAAATGGTATTTCATTTTGTATTAGGTCACTAATACAAAATTAGGTCCTACTTTCAATCAGTACGTTGTTTTTAGACTCACAGTTTTGCTGTTGCTTTTATTATAGGCAAGTTTGGACATAGTTGATGCCTCCTGGCCTGATTCTTTTCAGTTAGCCTGCTGCTCGTTGTTCTGTTTCTTCAAATACATCTTGTATTACGTCTTCCTACGGTGCTGCCTTGTACCAAGCTTATACAAAAATGTCTGCATTATTTTTAAGATGAGACTGGATTCCAGAAAGTGAGTTTGATGTTTCAGAGATGTATGACTACTTGGATAACTATTTAATATTGTTTGTTAGGTTAGAATTTGGAGGTATTATTTTACTTTCTAGAATCTTACATGATTTTTCTATTGATGCTACCAATACCCTTCCACCCCCAACCCCTAAATCATTTGATTATAGTGTAAACCAAGCAAAACTCATCACTGACAAGTCAATTTTGACCCATAGTGACCCTATATCTTAATGTAGAACTACTTCATAGCGTTTCCATAGCTGGAATCTTTGTGGAAGCAGACTGCCACATTTTTCTTCTGCGGAGCAACTAGTGAGTTTGAACTACTGGCCTTTCATTGGCAGCCTAGCACTTAACCTCTGGTGCCAAGGCTCCTCGTGTCTCTTACCCTCTCTAATTCCTTAATGTGTACTTCCTACAAGCAAGGATGCTCTCTTATCTCAACAAAACTATTAAAATCAGGAAATTATCATTAAATATATTAGTAACTTCTAATCTTTAAATCTCACGCAAATTTATAGCTTTTCCATTTGACTCTCATTATTCTCATCTCTGCTGAAACTCTAGTCTTGTTTATCCATGTTGTCTAGCTTTTCCACTACATCCTTTATCAAATCCTTTATCATAGTTATTTAGTATATATCCTTTTATAAAAAATCAATTTATTGGGGCTCGTACAATTCATCACAATACATAGATCAATTGTGTAAAGCACATCTATACATTTGTTGCCCTCATCATTCCCAAAATTCGCTTTCCTCTTGGGTTCCCGGAATCAGCTCATTTTCCTTTTTTCCCCCTCCCCTTCCTTTCCTCCTCCCCTCTCCCCCATGCACCCTTGATAATTTATAAATTATTATTGTATCAGTATATATCCTTTATCAGACTATATGAGAGGGCCTTCAGAAACTTTAGTGGTGGAAATCCCATTTATCTCTTCATTCAATTTTCCATGAACTTGAAAGCCGCTTCGTGTGTCGGATAGTTTCAACTCTGGAGTCTGTTTCGATCGATTGTATTGTCATCTCAACAATACATTGTTTTATCCTATCTTGTGTCTCAACTTTACATTGAATTTTGGCTACTGTTTGCAAAAGATCAGTGGAAATTGAGATAATGTTTCTGCCTGAAAGTTGGTGTTCCTATCAGGCCACTAGTGAATGGAATCAGTGTTTGGATTTTGTTATTGCTGTAGTTAGTCTTAAGTTCAGCACAGATGTCAAATTTCTGCGGATTCTTTGGACATAGTACACAGGGTGGAGAGGAATCCTATTTGCTTGCCCTTCCATCCATAGAAGATTGCTTTCGCTTGTAACTCTATGTGAGGTTTGTGGTGGGAACATAGGAGGGGCAATTTTGGGGTTTTCTGGTTCAGCCAGAGCCTGCCCTGAATGCCTAGGACTCGGGGGTGTATGTTTCTCAGTGTTCTTTTCATTCTGCCCTGTGACAATCAAACATTTCCTTGTTTAGAAGGAAGTTCGGGTAGCAATGAATGCCCTGTCCCTTCCCCCAGTGGTAGCAGATCTCTACTTTATATCATTTCAGGATCTTCAAACTACTGGCCTCTCCTTACCTCCCAGGAGCAGACACTTCGGTTTTTACCCCTTTTTTTTTAAGCAATAATGAACTTTCTGCCAGACACGGGGAGTGGCTGCTCCTAGCCCAAGATATGTTTTACAGATACCCCTTTCTTGGAGGGAGTGGAAGGGCTTCCTTCTTCACCTCTCCCAGTATTTTAGAATCTTTGCTTTTTCTGAGTGAAAACTCCCAAGAAGCAGATTGTGTTTTGTGTCTGTACATGACTAAGAGGGGTTCTTGGGTTTCTGACCTAGCCCCTAGTCTTTATGCCAGGCACTCACTGAGGGGCTGTGGGAAGGAGTGGTGAGTGAGTGTGCCCTCTCTTTGTTTAAGACTAAGGCTCCTAGGAATTCTCCATTCACACTAGCCCACCCGTGACCTTCACTGGTTCTGTGTACTCATCTTTTTATGACTGCTGTCTCTTCCTTCCATACTTCTTTTTTCTCTCCTTGAAGGAACTTCTCATACATGGACTCTCAGTTTACTTGATTACCTTGTGATCTGAAATCTGACATGCCTGAGAAAAGTTGTTTTTGTAGACTGTCCAGCCATTTCGTCTTGTTAGGGTGGGAAGAACAATCTTTTTTGGCTAACGGGTTTATTCTAGTTTCTCTTTTTCTGTATTTGTAACCCCCTTTTCCAACAATGAGAAACCTGGTTCATATTATCCTTGATGTTTAGGCTGGTTTGTTCAACACCCCCCCTCCACCAACCCCCCCCTGCATGTCACCATATCTCATCACGGACACTTTCCCATATGGTCAAAAGCCTCGCACCCCACTCAGGCTCTGAAACCTTGTGCTGGTGAGCTCCCTTTCCCAGGAGCCTTCCTTTCCCCACTGGGACTTTTGCTCTCCATCCCAGACACCCCCACCCCCACCCCACATGGATGCCTCCGTACCCTGCTCAGACTGTAATTCCCTCCATGGGGCCACTATTCTGAGGACACTGTCTCACCCCATTCAGGCTGTAACATCCATGCCAAGCCACCTGTGTGCTTGGATGCTCTTCTTGCTTCGCTCAAACTCAGAGCTTCCATACCTACTTCTCCCTCACTGACCCCTTTTTGCCCACTCAGGCGAGCAGCCGCTTCTCCCTAATGGATGCTTGACTCTGTTTGGCCTTTGAGTCCTCCTTCCAAGTCAACCCTCCACAAACAACCTACTTTATTCTAGCCCATTTTATAGCTCCAGGACTGACTTGTTTAAGAGGGGATGGGATAAAGGAAGAGAAGGGGAGAGAAGAGAAATGGGAAGGCTTATGTATGTTTGTAAGAAAAAACAACTAATAAATATATTTTAAGTATTTGTATTTTCTCTTTCCAACAGGCTATGAAGTTCATGGGATGGAAAAAATACCAGAAGAAGGACCAGCACTTATAATTTTTTATCATGGAGCTATTCCCATAGATTTTTACTATTTCATGGCTAAAATTTTTATTCAAAAAGGCAGAACTTGCCGAGTAGTAGCTGATCACTTTGTCTTTAAAATTCCAGGTAAACTTTCACTGTAGATAATGGTATAAAATATGTAATTAACATGATCATGGTAGTCGACATTTGTGAGCCCTCTGGTAGTCTTTGGATTTTTTTTTTTTTTTGATTTTTTTTTTTAACCTTTTTAGTTTGGTGCACTTGGAACCTCAATTTGGGAATACAGAATTATCTGGTTTAAATTATAAATCTAAATAGAAAAGCATTCTGAACAAAATGTTAACTTATTTATTAACAGTCTGGTTTTCAAGTTAAATTTTTTAACTTTAACTTTTAAAAAATAAACGATAAAAAATAAACTATAATGTTAATACAGCTTTTTTTTTTTATGTAGAGGAGGTAATTCTTTATATGGTGAATTTTTTCATAAGCTGTTGATTTTTGGATTTAATTTACTATGATTAGATTTTGATAACTAGTGTTTGATCCCAAACTCATTGCTATTGATTCTTACTCATAGCAACCCTCTGACACCTAGTAGAACAGCCTCGTAGTGTTTCCAAACCTCTAACCTGTACAGCGAGGGAGCGCCGCGTCTTTCCCAGAGCAGCCAGCTGATGGGTTTGAACCGCTAACTTTTGGTTAGTAGTCGAGCGCTTTAACCACTGTGCCACCAGCGATCTTCCGTGGGGTAATAGCAAATCAAAATGAATTTAAAAAAATTAGCCAGGATACAGCTTGTCTTCATATAGTAATCTTACCTCAGAAAAGCCATAAAACCAATCTTAAGAAGTGTGTTGTGTTCCTTATCCCTGACTGCTGTGGTAGATTTGCCACTCCGAGATTAGGGCTGCATGCTTTGTCATCTGTTCATCAAGGCTTTGTACCTTTTCTAAAAAAGGTATTCTTCCGTAAACTCATTGACACTACTTTACTTTCTTCTACTAGAAATACTAGAAGGTCTTGTTTCCTTCACTAAAAATAAGCCAAAAAGTATTTGCCTGTGGTGTGCTCTCTGGAATTAAAACTGCAGAAGCCAGCGAATTAACCAGACAAAAACCACACCGTGAATTAGATAGCTGTTTACGTTAGTGCCTTTCATAATCTTGTTTATCATTGTTTCGCTAAAAGCCCATGTATATTTTGTGTATAAACTGAATAGACTCATATTTTCCTTCAGAAAGTAATAAAATTATCATATAATGAATTTGGAAGCTAGAGAAAAGAAAGAAGTCATTATAATCGTACTACTGTAAACATAACCCTGTAATTTGATTTGTTGTTACTTTTAATTTACGTATTTTCCGCAAATTAAGCAAATAATTTTTTAAAATTTAGTGGTAGCATTAACATTTTACCACGTTGAAGGCACAGTTTTAATGAAAGACTAAAAGATTAACTTGAAACCTTTCTTCTGTGTCATGTTATGTCACCTTTGTTATTTTTCCTTTTAAGTAATAGGATGTAGATGTCTTTTTAAAGTTTTTTCTTTATGATTTGTTTAATATTCTAACACAAATTTACTTGATCATTTTCTGAATATTCTTGCTTCAGGTAGGCAGAGATCTCTAGAACTATGAGAAGTTTGGTTAGTCCACATAATTTTCATCATACATTTCACATTTCTCAGTCTCTAATAGATAGTGAAATCAGCCTTAAAAGTTCAAGTTTATAGTTGTATTCCAATATTTATGGTAGGATAATCTTTTTCATCCATAAATAATTTGAAAAGCTATACAATATTAGGACACAGAATTAGCTGAGCCATGCACCCTCACTTTACCAAAAACCCTTAATCACATTTGGTGCTATTATTAATTTTAAAATTTAGTAGTAGAATTTATAAGATCTAACTTGTAATTGTCTTGGCAATTCTGGTAAGACAAAGTACAGTCAAATTCACATGCTTTTGAATCGTTTATTTGTATGGTTAATGGGAAATTAGATTTGTGATTGCTGATTGAATACCATAACTGTTCTGTTGTTTAGCTGTGAGATGCTGCAGCGGGAGCTGAACTGGACTGTGGATTGAAATATCTGCCGTGCCAGGTATTTAGCGTGACTTTGATCAGGCTGCTTACCTCTGTAAACACAAGTTTCCTCATCTGTAAGCGGGCATAAGAATCCCTATTTTTCAGGTTGTAAGAATTAGTGTTTGAATATATAAAGTACCAGAATAGTGGATCATCAGCAAGGAGGCTCAGTAAGAAATCACTGTTATTGCAGGTCAGCGTTCAGAACCCCCAGTTTCTCCTCGAGAAGATTAGGCCTTTTACTCCCATAAAGTCTCAGCACCACAGGGGCAGGTCCGCCCTCTTCTGTAGGTTTGCTATGAGTCAGAATCGATCAGATGGCAGGGAGCCAGGGGTTACTTCACCAGTGAGCCCTGACGGTGCAGTGGTTAAAACGCGCAGTGCTAACCGAGAAGGTGGTGGTTCAGATCTGCCGGCTGCTGCGCCATACAAAGATACAGCCCTCTGCTTCTGTCAAGATCAAGGCCTTGGAAACTGGGCAGTTTTACTCCGTCTGACAGGGTGACTGTGTGTCCGAATCGACTCAAAGCCAATGGGTTGGGGCTTTATTACTTCACCAGCAATTTTACATTTGTTTTAACAGAGTTTTTGCAGCTTAAAAGGAAAGTTTACTGACTTAAGAACAGATATGCATTCTAGGTTGTGATGATTTTTTGCTCTTGAATAAGAAGTACTAAAGATGTATCTTAATGCTAATTTTTTACAGGGTTTAGTTTATTACTTGATGTGTTTTGTGCTCTTCACGGACCAAGAGAAAAATGTGTTGAAGTTCTGAGGAGTGGTCACTTGTTAGCTATTTCACCAGGTGGGGTTCGGGAAGCCCTAATTAGTGATGAAACCTACAGCATTATATGGGGTAACCGTAAAGGCTTCGCTCAGGTCGCAATTGATGCAAAAGTGGTGAGTTGTATAAGATTAATAATTGAAATAAAACATAATTGAATTTAAAGTAAATGTGTAGTGAACAAAAGCATTTGAGAATTTTAGATATTTTCCTTGTAATACTTTTAAAATGGCATATGTGTCGGTTATAAAGAACTACTTAAAAAAAAAGAACTACCTTTAAAAACTTGAGAAATATTCCTCGTGTGTGGGAAGCCATCTGAAAAGAATTCATCTGGAAAGTTGAGAGTTCTTGTACACTTCATAAATGGCTTCTTTTCATCCAACTGCCGAACTTCTGGTATTTCTTTTTATTTTTTAGCGTAAGTATCATTTACATTCTGTGTATTTTTATTCTTTGGTATACTTGAATTGAGTTGATTGTTTCAGCTGTGATTCTATTACCTGTGGCCAGGAGCACGAGGACTCAGTAAAGAGCCCTGCTGCCACATTTACACCCTTATGTGTCTATATCTTTTTTTTAAAATCATTTTACTTCGGGCTTATACAACTCTTTGCACAATCCATCCATCCATCCATTGTGTCAAGCACATTTGTACATTTGTTTCCATCCTCGCTCTCAAAACATTTGCTTTCTACTTGAGCCCTTGGTATCCTTATGTGTCTATCTTGCAAGTACAGCCTGCTGATTAACAAGGAGAAAATTATAGCAGACTCATCAAACATCCAAGATCTGCATTTGAGGAAGAATGGAAATTTTCTGTCTTTTTTTAATTACAAAGGAGCCCTGGTGGCATATAGTTATTCATTAGGCTGTGATTCACTCGGTTGGCAGTTCAAAACCACCAGAAGCTTTGAGAAAGACTAGACGTTCTACTTCCATAAACAGTTACAGTCTTGGAAACCCACAGGGCATGGCTATGAGTCAGCATTGACTCAATGGCAGGGAGTTGGGTTTTTCATTTACACATTATAATAAAAATACTCCTGAGTTCCAGGGTCTCCTATGTATGTGAAAATCATACAATTAAATTATTATTGTCATGATTTAGCAATGTGATTCTAGAAGATTAATGTAATTACCCAATGACTTAATAAACTATGTTAAGATTTTCACCAGTACCATCTTGTAGACAATCAACTTCCTGAGAACAGTGCCAACATTTTATATTCTTAAGTTCTTGTGCAATGTCCAAGCTCTAAATATTTGTTGAATTAGATAAAAAATATTTTCCCATACAACACAGAATATTTATGCAGTAGAGGAAAGTAGCCTTTTTGAGTATAACTTTATAATATTGGCAGTATATTTAATTTATAGCACATTTTGTTTTCTGAAATGTTATATGAGCACTGATGTAGAAAACAAAAACCTAGACGACTTGAATCATATAGACTGCAAAAGGATTATATGCGTGGCTGTACAAAAATTAATGTTCACTTGTGACATGCATACTAAAATAATGATTAAAAGCTAGAACCTATTCCTAGCTTAATTTTCTTGATACAGTTTAAAAGAATTATTTCTTCTAAGCTTTAAGATAAAATGGCATCAATGGATTTAAAATACTTATATTTCAGGGGAGTCTATCTCATCTGGAAAGCCTCTTAGTAGTCCTTAAAAAATTAATAGCCCTAAACAAAATTTGACTGGAAATATAAGACTATTATTACTGCATTAAAAAAGCAAACTAAGCACTGCCATCAGTTTGATTCTGACTTATGACAACCTTATAGTAAAGCTGTCCTGTAGCCTGTCCAAAGCTGGAATATTTATGGAACTGGATAGCCGTATCTTTCTTCTGTGGAACACCTGGTGGTTCAAACCGCTGACCTCTTCTTGGTTAGCTCGAAGCACTGTGCCCGTGTATTTACAATATGACGTAATATAGAGCGTAAGAGGGGCATATCCGGATTATGATTGCTGTTCACAGAATAGTGCTCGAAAGTGGTTCAGGCTGATATGAAAAGTGGCAGGTTTTGATATATCAATCTTGTTTTATGGATTTCTGATATTACTTTGATAGAATTTTCAGATAACTTCTCATCAAATTAAGTTGGAAGGAAAATTAACTCACTATTTGGACCGTAAATGACAAATGTAAAAGAAATAGCATTTTTTAAAATAGTATTTCACTTAGTCTATAAACCAATCTCTGAGATAAGGAAAATTGATATCCTCATTTTATATATAAAAAACACAAAAACCAGAGGATTAAGGAGGGAAAATATCTTGCCCAAAGGTTTTGATTTTTGTGTTGTTGAGGACATACAAAGCAAAATAAACACCAATTCAACAGTTTCTGCACATACCATTTAGTGAGCACGGAAGTCAATTCTGAGGAAGAACCATCACACTGCTTTTCACAATCACTGTACCACCTTACATTCCCCATAGTCATGGGCAAAGCTGCCAGTTTCCCCACAGCTACACAGTATTTGTTTTCTTCTTTCTCTCTAATCGTCATCTTAGCCATCCTAGTGAAAGTGAAATTGTAGCATCTTGTGATTTGCATCTCTGATGACTAATGATGTTGAGAATCTTCTCTTGTGTTTGGTGGCCATTTAAATGTTCTCTTTGGTGAAATGTCTATTCAAAATCTTTTGCCTGTTTTAGGACTGTGTTGCTTTTTGTTAACTTTTTAAAAGTTGAAGTGTATTCTGGTCAATTTGTGTTGGTTTGTTTTCTCCTCTTTTGGTAAAGTCTTAAGAAGTTTGAAATTTTCATGAAGTCCCATTTATTTATTTTCACTTTTGTTATTATGTTAGATAATCCATTGTCAAAAGCAGGTCTGAAAGTGTCCCTATTTTCTAAGAATAATATGGTTTTAGTTTGCATATTTAGGACCTTAATCTATTGAATACATTTTGGGTTTTTTTCCCCCTGTGATGTGAAGCATGGATCCTGTTTCATTTTTCTGTGTGTGAAAATCCAAATTTGCTTGCATAGGTATTGATAAACCTCCCCCACTCCTTCCCCCAAATCATGAACTTATAGCTAGCTCTCTTGTCAAAAATAAGTTGAGTGGGTTCATTTCTGGCCATGGTTCTATTCCATGGGTCTATCTGCTTATTGTTATACCAGTACAAGGCAGTTTTGATTAGTGAAGTTGTATTATCTCTGGTAAGTGCCCTCAAGTTAGGTCTGATGTTCCACAGAATGAACCACTACCCAATCTAGTACCATCCTTAGAATGATGGCTGTGTTGGCGCTATTTTTGTAGCCGCTGTGTTCATCTACCACACTGAGAGCTTTCTCTTTTTTTTTTGATACTTTCCCGACCATGATGCCCTTCTCCGAAGATTGGTCCCTCCTGATACCATGTTTAAAGTATGTGAAATAAAGTTTTGCCATTCTTGCGTCTATGGAGCATTCTCGTTGTACTTCCAAAACGGATTTTTTTGTTCTTTGGCAATTTATGATACAGATTATATTTATTGCCAATAGCATATTTCAGAGGGCACCAGTTCTTCCTCAGTTTTCCTTCTTCATGGTCCAGCTTCTTGCATATGAAGCTATTGAAAAAATACCAGGGCTTGAGTCAGTTGTGCCTTAACTATTGTTTCTCCTTTCAATTATATCAGTGTTTATGTGTATTTACTTTTCACCTATTAACTATCTGATTGTCTGACATTTTGAATTTACAGCAAAAAATTGACCCAACTATTTTGTGTCTCAATGTTCCCTTGCTCCTTGCAGATGTGTAGGTTAAACTTGGGTAACTGATAGCCACTCTATTGGACACAGCAGCCCTACCCTTGTGACTTTCTAATACGAAATCTATATTGGTCTAGAAAACCATCTTTCTTCCATGGAGTGGTTGGTGGTTTTGAACTGCTGACATTGCTGTTATCAGCCCAACACATACAAAGGGGTACCAAAAAAAACCCAGAATTTTTTTACCCCGAGAGCTATGTATTTAATTTTTTTTACAAAACAACCTTATCACCTTCAAAGTACTCTCCATTACACTTAATACATTTGTCAAATCTGTGATTTCATTTTTGGAAACATTTTTCAAACTCATCTGTTTGGATAGCTGACAGCACCTCCCTTATTTTTTTCTTCACCTCTACTATGTTGAAAAATCACCGTCCTTTTATGCCCTTCTTCATTTATGGAAACAAAAGGAAGTTGCATGGAGTGAGGTCAGGTGAGTAAGGTGCATGGGGCAAGAGAGGCATGCTGTTTTTTGCCAAAAACTGGTATTCTGAGCAGGTGCCTTGTAGTGACAAAGCCATCCCCCATCTGCCACAAATCAGCACTTTTTGATCACACGCTGTTAGGCTAACTTCAGAACCTCTAAATAGAAAGCTTGATTAACAGTCTGATCTGGTGGAATGAGCTCCAAAGACACTGTGAGTTGACTTTTTCATCCATTCGGGTAGTTGACAGATGTTCAGATGAGGTTTGTCATCAATTGACATTTCACCTTTTTTGAAGCGAGAAAACCTCTCCTACTCTTGAGTTTTCCCCCTAGTGCTGTCCTTGTAAACTGTTCAACATCACAACAGTTTCTGCGGCATTTTTCCCAAGCAGGAAACAAGATTTCACAGCTCCACGCTGTTCTCTTAAATTGGCCATCACAAAAAGCAAAGTTCAAATGTAACTGCTTGTACAAAAAAATTCACTGTGACCAGAGAAAACCTTCCCAGGGGACACCACTAGGTGCACTAACTCAGAGTGAGTTGCTTGATGCTTCCTTCCCAGAAAAATGCGTACTATGAAAGCTGTGCTCAACCTAGTGCAATTCTGTTTTTTGGGGGCGTACCCCCTGGTAATCCACTACACCTCCAGGGCTACTTGTATAGTTGGGTCCTATTTTTTTTATTCCTTATGCTACTTTCTGCCTTTTGATTTGACTGGATTATAACTGGACTATAATCCAGTTGTAGTCATTAGAATTACTGATAAGTGGCTTCTGATGATTATTTATGTGTTTTTTAGCTGTCTTTGACTTTTTCCTTTAGTAATGCTTGCTTTTGTGTTTTGTTTATTATCATGAACATTTTTGCTTCTGTTTTCATTTCATGTATGTTTTTGAAAACTTTTTTTC